TGTGCATAGAGTACTTCTCCCGAATGCTCAAGCTTTCTACCGCAATGGTAGATTTTTGGTATCGCCCTCGGTGTGGGTCTCTTCGTATTGTCATCTTGTGTTTGTGGATGATATCATGCTCCTTTGTCGTGGTGATAGATCCTCCGTTCCGTGCTTATCTTCACAGCTAAGTCGGTTTCGCCGAACTTCGGGCCGACTATCAATGCCTCCAAATCCTCTATTTATTTTGGGGGAATCAACGACGACATCAAGCAAACTTTATTCCACGATACTAGGTTTATCGAAGGCACCTTCCCTTTTCGGTATCTCGGGGTTCCTCTCGGCCCTCACCGCCTTCTTGCTAGTCAATTTTCTCCTTTGTTTTAGAGCACGGAGTCGACAATGTAGGCTTGGTTAGGTAAGCGACTCTCGTATGTGGGGTGCCTAGAGCTTCTCAAGTCCGTTCTCGCGGGCATTATACATTTTTGGTTAGCCATCTTTCCTATTTCGTCTATGGTCATTTCCCGTATCACCGCTCTCGTCGTAATTTCCTTTGGACTCGGGGATATTCGGAAATGCCATGCAGCTTTGGTTTCTTGGAAGGTGCTCGGCTTTCCGAAGTCGAAAGGGGATTGGCCGTTTGGGATCTCAAAACACTCAATCAATGTTTTCTCGCTCGACGGCTTTGGGACATCCATCGCAAACCGACTCGATATGGATCCAATGGGTACACCATTTTTCCTTAAAGGATTCTTCAATCCGGGACACCCAAGTCCACCGAACGGCCTCACCTTTATGGAAGGGTATTCTTTCGATCGGAGACATACTATTATAGACTTTTGGAGACTATGTTCGGTCGTTAGAGCGCCTCGCGATTAGGGCCATGGGAAATTTATCCGAAATGCTTACAATGGTCCGCGCCCATCGAGGGCTTTGGTTAATTGGAACCGAGTGGTTTGGGAATAATGGACACTACCATGGCACGCTTTTGCTCTCCGGTTAGCGGTTCATGACAAGCTAAAAACTATCGATCGTCTTTGCTTCGTCCCGTATGACACCATATGTTCACTCTGCCGGTAAGCTCCCGAATGCCATAGCCATCTCGTTTTTCGAGTGTCCTCGGACGGCCGGTCTATGGAGTCGGATTCGAGGTTGGCTCGGAATTATTCGTCGAATGTCCACCTTTGCTAGCGCCATTCGGGGTCTCTCAATTCAATGCAATAATCGGAAGCTCGAATGTGACGGGTCTCGTTAGCCATCACAAGTATATCCGATTTGGGAGGAGCGCAACAAGAGGCTTTTCGATGGCTCTCTCTAACATTTCTCGTCTCTTTCGAAGTTTCGTGTCCTTTTTTTCATGATCTTTCATTTTCATGAAAAGGACCACACTTTACTTCATGTTGGTTAGTCATCACTATCATTTTGCAAATTGTTTTCTTTTGGTCTTATCGAGAAGATTTTTGTACGCTCGTTGAGCCTTGTAAATGGTTCCGGATAGCTAGACAGGTTTACATATGAGTTTTTCTTGGAATCTATTCCTTGAACAACTTTCTAGTTCTAGCTCTTTTGCTTTGTTTCCACGGGAGCCTGTTCCCGTCTACTTGTAAATCATGTATATGTAACTTTCGTCGGTCCTCCAGACTCTTTTGATTAATATACTTACATTTTAATCAAAAAAAAAAGTAAGATGGTCCTTGGTCATATTAAAAATTGGTGCCGATAAGATCATCTTTGGGGGTCCGTTACCAATGAGTTGATACCGATATATTTCTATTTGACTCATCCCTTACGATAATACCATTCCTCCTTCCAATTCTTTTTTGCCTTTTTCTATTCGAAGAGTTTTCCAAGTTCATCATAGTCTCTACTTTTTGATAGAATTTGACATAAGCATCGATGTTGTGCCTTCATTCTCTATAGTACTTGAAATATCGGTTCTCATTAACCATAACTTGATTTCGATAGGTTTTCAAAGACATTTCTTAATACCTAAATTTTACCCCTAATTTTCTTAATTTTATGAGAAAATAAATAGAGAGAGAGAGAGAGAGAGAGAAAGAGAGAAGAAGAAGAAGAAAGAAAGAAAGAAAGAAAACAGAATTAAAAAAATAAATGAATAAAATTAATTTAAGGGTCCAATTAAAGGATTTGAGAAACTAGGACCAAAAGAAATTTAATTGGAGGGTATAATTGAAAGGGTTTAAAAGCCTTAATTAAAGATAAAAGGGATTGCAATTGAAAGAAATTAAAAGAAAATGATATGAATAATCTAAATTAGGGCTGAAGTTGAAGAAGAATAAAGAGATTTAGACTAAAATTGGAAAGAGTGGAGGAATTAGGGACCAAAATTGATTTTTTTTCCAAAAATCCTAATAGTCATCCTATAAATACTGTTTTTTCTCTCATTTATCCTCAATCGCTTTCATCTCTACTAAAGAAAGAAAAACTCATCGGTCATACCACAAAGCTCCTCCTTACCTTACTTTTGACTACTTTTTCCTCCTTATCGTCGACCATCGAACCCCTATAGTAGCCCAACACTACTGCCACACCAACTTTACATCCTAACCGACTTCACCTACAACTACCGAATTTCTCCTAAACTAACCCGAACACCTCCAGCCATCATATATCCTCAAAATCATCCCCCTCGGGTCACTCAAACTCACCCAACTATATCCAATCAATAGCAAACCTTCTCTCTTACTCATTCAAACACTCTTTGCCAACCAAATATCCAAAACAGTAGCCACCTTTCTCTTACTCACCACTATCCAAAAACCCCATCCATCATCATTCAACTCACCCTCACCCATCGTTATTCGAAAGCCATAGTAATAACTTATAACCCACTATCCCTTATCAACCACACAACCCACTTCTAAGACACCACCACACATACGCGAAACCCTCACAAAACTAAAACCTTGGGCCCTCCAATCTCTTATCCATCTCTACCACCATACACGACCGGACCCGAGGGCCAACCATTGTTATCCTCTCATCACACATAGCCGAGCCTTAGCCCCAATCATCTCTTTTCAAAAAGCCCAATCAAAACCTAAAGCCCTCCTCAACAACCTCCGTGGTCATTGAAATCCATTCTTCACAATTATAATAGACCCTATAGTAGTCTCAAACCATCAAAATAACGACACCGACTAAAAAATATGATGAAACATGTTAAAAAAAGTCAAATCGCCAAGGTTTTTTTTTTTTTTTTGAAAACGAGGGTGAAACTTTGATAAATTTTGTTAATAGTGAACATATTGCCATGTCCCTAAGATGGACTTAAGCACCGGAAGAGAATAAGACTTTATCATGACATAATATTAAACGATCACTTAAAGTTAATAGCTCGACTTTCGTATTAGTGCTTTCCCTATAATAATTGAAAAACCCATAATAAAATGCCTATAAAGATCTTGGATTACTCCTTCACTTGGGCATCTCCCATCTATAGATGAACCATCCGAGTTAGGTTTATACATACCGAGTAGAAGAAAGAGTCCACCACAACCATTTCCTTTATTTCGATGAACTAGGATAATTAACAAGTGGAATGCCCGAAGTTTTTGTAAAGTTGATAAACTAGATAGCTTTTTTAGGTTTAAAAATTTCACACATATCGGATAAATACCAACATAATCGTTCGATGATTAAGTAATCAAACATAGATATCTCCTCATATTTTTTCTTACACCTATATTTTTATAATTCCCATAATGTAATGAAAAGTGTAGCAACTTGGCACATACCGGTTTGTGTTGACGTAGAACCCATCTATGTGTGCATTAAATCCTAAGAAGGCACTTATGTATTCTTTTTTCCAGAAGTTGTTGAAAGGTAAGCCTACATAGTAGTAGCGACTTTAGATCGAAATTAAGGGATTCCATCTTAGATGGTATACAATAGTGACATATAGAAACCAAAGGAATTTTTAAGTCTTTTATCCAAGAATTAATTGGAATTGCCTTGTGTATCCATTTCCAAATAAACCTTCAAAATCTAGAGGGAATGTAACTTGTCCACATTTGGTTTTCCCAATTAACTCAAGGATGCTATCAATGACAAAAATCCCAATATGCCTTGGTCTCAAAACACCTTGAGTTATTCAATGTGAAAAGTAACATGTCGACTATATTTTCATCAAGATGAATAGTCTTTACCTGGACATGGTATGGTCTTAGGATGTATGCCAAAAATTATTTCGGGGATATCAAAGCCTCCTTGATCGAGAGGTTAGGATCTAGAGGCGACAACGAGCATCCAGGTAGATGCCACACCGGTTAATGCACCATAAAGAAATAGAATCTCTTCCTACTATCCAAGTACTATAATCCTTCAAAATCTAAAAGTGCTCATAGATGGACTTCCATATATAAAAAGATGAATCGTTGCTAGTTTGCCCGAATCCATTGATGCTATCTCGATTATGTTTCATTATTAAATGGTTAAAATAGAGACTTTGGGTAGATTTCAACCTTTCAAATTAGTTTTCATTATCAACGGATGATAAGGGGATGAAGTGACGAACATGACCAGCCTTCTCTCTCACTCTCCAACTAGCTATAAATAAAACACCCTCTAAACAACCCTTCATTGACAAAACCTCTTTCACCAAAACTATCAAAACTACCAATCATCAACACACTCTTATTTTGTAATGGATAGTAGAATAAAGATGTAATATCGAAGTAGCATGTCTATTTCTAAAAATGTGACACTAGTTATATGTGAACTATAATATAAAGTTCAATCAAAACAATTCAAATGGACAATAGCATAAGGACGTAATGTCGAAGTAGCACGTTTATTTCTAAAAACGTGACACCGGTTATATGTGAACTATAATAGAAAGTTCAATCAAAACAATTCAAAAATTATGAGATTGTAATAAAAAAAAGATACAAAGAGTTTAGGAATCTAATCGGAGGGGGATCCATGTTTATAGTACGGGGCCCTAGCGCCCCCTCCAAAATTTTTTCCCCCATATAGACAAGACTTTGTAGATAAAATATCTAAGCCATCGTGTAACATTGATTGGCCTCGGGAACGTTCATCATATTCTCATGCATATATGGCCTAACCGTCCTGTTTGTGGGCTTGTGGCGAAGCTAGTGCTAGACGAACACTAGAAGAAGTATAAGCGTCAATGAATCCATTTTAAAGGAAGAGATAAATATTTTTAGCTTCAAACTCCTACAAGTTGTAGAATAAACCCGGCCCGAGCCCCTTTCAATTTTTTTCTCGATATTAATATAGGACAAACCCAGTCCTCTTTTAATATTTTTTTAACCTTTGTCCTTAGTCTTCGACATTAATAAACTCTTAATATTTGTTTAATTTGATCTCGACTACCTCCCATCATTACTAAATTTTTTCTTTCTTCGTTCCTTCCTCCTTCTCCCTTAACTCTTACTCTATTCAAAACACTAAAAAAAAAAAAAAAAAAACCTTCACTTTGATCTGGATTTCTCTTATTCGACAACACAAGCATGTATTTTCTTCAAAAATTAATAATTTATTAAATCTTATTATATTGTTTACATTATTAATTTATAAAGTTTTTTGTTTTATATATTGATTGAATCTTGGCAACTCTCAATTTTCTTTTGAAATAATATTTTATAATTAAAATATTAGATTCGATTGTCTACCTAATTTTATTTTATGTGATTAAGGTATTTATTGGATCCATGTGTTAGTAAAATTCGATAATCTATCTATTTAAATTAAAATTGTACTATTGATCTTGAAATTTTATGTTGTTGTTGTGCTTGTAGTTGGAGACCCAAAGAAAAAAAAAGTAAAAGGAGTTGTAATAGTAGGAATGCAATATTATAATTTACAAATAACCATTCTTCTTTAATTAATGGTTATTAAAAAGTATCTTCGATTATTTTAGTCATAACATAGTTAGATTAATATACTTGGATTCTCAATTGTTTGTTCGTTAATAATAACGATTTTTCTTGTTTATATTTTATAGGTTCTATATTACTAAAGTGACTATTTTGAAATATATTCAACTTATTAGTGAAGCAACTAGTGCCACTATAATCCTTAATATTTTTACGTATGTATACTAGTGAGCCTAAGGGATGGTTAACAAAAGACCTAGGTAGTGGTCTATTTATGTATTTTGTTTGAAAATTTGAATATTTTATTTGCATTTTAAGTGAATTTGTAATTTGTTGCATATTATATTTTAGAAATTGTTGCATATTCATATACCTAATTTATTTTTATTGTACATGAAAAAGTCATATACCATCAATGCATTTTTTATTTTGGCCCCCTTAAACATTTGGTCTTATGTCTCGCCACTAGATCTAATTATTATTATTATTATTTTAATTTTCATGTTATTGCATTTGTAAAACATCATTTTGAATGCTATAAAATGTGTCATATATGAGTTCTAGTTATAGTAAAACTCTAAGAGTAATTTTCTTAAAAATATATATATTATAATAATTTAAAACTAATAAAATACATGCAAAACCAATTTAGCATGCAATATATATAATACAAAAAAAAATTTAAAATTAAAATAAAAGCAACAATATTGCTGAATGATATCTAAATATCTATATTAAAGAAGAAAATATGTTGCAGTTCCTATTTTTTTTTTTTTTTTAGAGAGAGAGAGAGAGCAACTCTATTTTTTTTAATTTTAATTGATCAAATATTCAAAATTTCTTATTTTTTTAAATAAAAAATTAGACCCATTAACCAAGGGCTAGTGACTCATCGATATTGCACGTCATTTTATTTTTAATTTATTATAATAATATTAAAAAAAATATTTTAGAGTTTTATTGTGAAATGGGTCTCACACATATATTTCATACATTTTTTATGAGATTTAAAAAAACATGAAAATTAAAAAAAAATATTCACTACATTATTTGAATTATTTTGATTAAATTTTATGCTTTTTTATTTGTTTTGATTGAGTCCTTCTATTAGGATCTCACATATGATATATGTTACGCTTTTAAAAATGAAATTGTCACGTTAATGTCATGTCAACTCATAACTAACGAGCGTTATAAGAAAATAATGAAAACAAAACAAAATAAAGAATAAAAGAACTTAATCAAAATAAAAAAATAATTCCAAAAATAGAATGATTATATATGGAAAGAAAAAAAAAACCCAAATATTAATTAGCATAAACTCCTCTTATAGGCAATGTTTAGGGTTCAAGACATACATATATACACCCACAATCTTGTGTTATGTTCCATTACCCTCAAATAGTCGGCTTTGAAGGGCTCTTATGTCGGTAAGTAAAATCAAAAGGCTAGTCTTTGGTTAAAGTTGGATTAGCTTGGATATCATTATACGGAACCAGGTCAACTCACATATTCAATCATGAACAATGATGAACTAGTTATGGTGATTTTTTTTAAAAAAAAAAGCAAATAATCCTGTTTTATTGGTTAAGAATCGGGATAAAAACTTGTAACCCTTGTAACACTATAGTAAAATCTCACCTCTTACAAATGTACAAAAATCCCTTCCTTCCATTTTTGTCAATCAGTTTCCATTAACAATAATATTTATTCAAATGATATATGGGTTTACCCCACATTTGATCCTTGTACAGTTTCAATTTTTTTTAATTAAGACCCTCTATGATTTCTCGGCTTGATTGAAATCTTATACTTTTACAAATTTATTGATTCGGATCCTTTGTTAATCGTGCAATTGACGTGACACGTTAAAAATGTCGATAGTCAATTAGGCATGGACATGTGAAAATGTGGGCCCTAAATGTGAGAATTTAAGTCCGAAACTACAAAATAATAAATTTAAAAAGATTTATAATATTAAACTAATGTTAAGTATATTAAAATGAATAGCAAAAAACAAAAATGCCTTCGTCCTCGTTACACCAACCAAATCTTAGTAGCCATCTCCTCTTCACCACAACCCGTCACCATTACGGATCGCCGACCACTAGTCGCCCATCACTACCATAACTCGCAACAAGCTTTGCCTCTTCTTACTAATCCCACACCAATCTTTAACCTCGCCTCCCAATTTAGGTTTTGTGCAATAAAAAGGTTAACTCCGTCCGACATAATGCAAATGATGAGCCACAAGAATTCACCACGATGAGAGGTACGACCTTGGTCCAATGCCACTCGAAGCGAAGCTATGGGCTTTCGGGAGCCCTAGCACGAGCATCACCTATCCCTTTTTTCGCAGAGTTTTAGCTCCTCTAGTCGAAGTGGTCCGATCTCGGGAAGAATGCTTTCGAGAACAAGAACTCATGCACCGGGAATTCCTTTTAAGAGCTTCATCTTTGATATGGGAAGAATGCTTTTGAGAAATTCTCGCTTGTGTTTGAAGAAGAGATCTAGTCCAAGTGCGAGGAAAGCAATGACAACTAAAGTTGTAATTTTGAGATTATCACCACCGATGACTCGCTTAGGCTCGATCAATCACTTGAAAAGGTTATAAATTTTCTAGGGTTAAGGACGATTAGTGGACGGTGGCTATAGGGTTTTAAGAATTTGAAGGTTTGGATTTCCAACAATAGAGAAAGTAAGAATGAGGTGAAGGCAATATGGTATTTTTCAATAGTTTATAAATATTAAGTATTAGTTTAATAATAAAAAGGTTTTTAACTTTTTTTTTGTTGGAAATACTATTATTTGAGAACCACATCGACACGTGTCTATGCATGATTGGTTACTCGTTAGTTTTAACTTACCACATAAGATGAAAATTTAACAACGTTATAACGAAGGGTCTAAATTAAAAAATTTATAAAAGTAAAGGGTTTCAATTAAGCTGAAAAATCATAGAATGTCTCAATTAAAAAAATTAAAACTCGTACAATGACTAAATATAAGATAAACCCAATGATATATTCTGAGTTTTTTTTATCTCTAGATATCACTTGGTTTTAATGTTTAGATTAATCGATCAAATGTATAGAATAAACATAACTAATAAAAATAATTTCTACTTACTCATATAATCAAAATCACTTGTTTAAAATACTAAAATTATTTCAGTTTAAGTTTCCTATCTTGAGTTATGAACCCGAGTTTTTTTGTCATGAACAAAAAAATAATAACAAGTACCTCACCACTTCTGACCATAAATATATATTTCTAAATTCAATTTATGGTAAAGAAAAAGAAACAAACAAAAGGAGAAATGGAGTCGATTGGTGTGGATAACGAATTGTTTGCATAAGAGAATTGTTAAAATATACATCAACCCAATACAAAATCAGTAAATAAATAACTATATCTAAAGAAAGATGAAGCATTCCAGGGCAACAACAGGGTTCTCGAGAGACTCATTCCCCTCCCGTCGCTGTTGCTGCCTTAAAACGGGACCGTTTACCGACTCCTCCTTATTCTTCCTCTCCCCTGACCTGCCGCCGGCTTTTCCAGTCACCTTTCCGGGACTCGCTCCCATACGACCCCTCCCAACTCCACCCGCCGTCCTAGTCGCCGGTGACCTTCCAAAATCCCTCCTGACACCAGTGGACCCCCCATGACGCTGGCCAGCTGCAGTCCTGATCACCTGACCGGTCTTCTGCGCCGGAGATTGTGACACCCATTCTCTGTCTCCGATGTACGGACGCTTTCTGGGTACTTTGGCAGGAGATTTGTTGACCCTTTTCTTGCTTGTTACCTCATCTCCCCTTATCTCTGTTATTGTAGTAGTGGTGGTGGCAGTGGTGGTGGTTGCTGTTGAGGCAGTGTCAGTGATATTGCTGCATATCTCTGATGCTTGAGAGATTTCTTGGACTTCTTGATGTTTCTTGTTGTTTTTTTGTGTTAGGGTTTTCGGTTCTTGGTTTTGTGTTGTTGTCGCTGTTACTGGAGTACTAGTTTTCTGTGGTTTGACGATAACGGGGGTTTCTGAGAGCACTTCTTTGACTGTTTCTTTTTCGAGTGGTGGTGGGGTTCTTGTGGTGGTGACATGGGGTTCGTGGGGTTGTGGTGGTGAATGTTGGTGGCGGCTTGGTGGTTTTGCGTTACTTGACCCTCTTTTGGTGGAGCTAATACAGCAACCCATTAGGCGGAGAAAGAGAGGGAGAATGAGATGATGTCAGAATCTGTAGTTTTGAAAATCTGAAATCTTTTAACGGCTATAAAATGTTCCTTCTTAGAAACTAGTGGTTAAGATAAAAATGGCATTTGAGAAGGGACTGAAAACAAACAACTTGTTCGATTAAATTGGTGTATGATAATAGATCGATAGACAAAAACTAGGATACAGAGGAAGGCAAATAAAAGTGAGCAAATGGTGGTGTTGTGGGGTTTTGATTATATAAAGAATGTGCTCTGGGGGTGTGGGAGTCGGGAGCCTGGTTGGTATTATTAGAGATTGAAGGCACAGATCAGACGTAATTATGTGAAAACTTAAAAAGGAGAGATTTAGTTTGAGATTGTAAGTACAGTTCGATGAAAATGGAAGCTTTGATTACCTTCCTGTGAACTTTCCAGCATCGAAGCCTTCACTTCACTGAGACCCACAAATTGAGTATTTTATAAGAGCCTTATCTTAGCTGGAGCTATAATGAAAGCAAAAGAGGTTAAAATTTACCATTATTAGCCTAAACTAAATACTTTTGGTGCTCTCTCCTCCTTTTGCGGATTCACACAATAAACTTTGCTTGCATTTTGAATGGCTAAGATATTGGATTAGACAATTGAGAATAAAGAGGGAACATTTGTTGACCATAAAGTTTTTCATTAAGACTTCTTGTTTGAGGCATTGTGCATTGCATGCAAGGTAAATTACCTAGGAAATGGAACTATTTCCGAAATTAATTTTTCTTATTGTCTGCCTTGAAAACTGTAATTCCAAACCACTTTCCAAAACCAAAAAACAAAACCACTTACCAACGATGAGGAAACCAGGTGCACGTACTAATGGACCACCAGAGTCCAGAGGTCCATGGAGTGGACCAGCTGTTACTCCTGGCACGTATTCTTCGAGCCAGTGCCGACGGGTACCACCCACCACCAGTATATGATCTGTAACCGAAATATAGATAAGGTTCTAAAACAATTTTGCCAGCATGACCATAAGCTTCATGCATTTGCCTTGCCATCGATTAGACCCAAATCGAAGGTGGAAATTAGTCATTGAGTCAAGGACCAGCAAATAATCATTTAACTGCACCTCATGGAAAATCCAAAGAAATTAACTTCAAAGAGGAGATGGCATGACTAAACAAGACAATATGGCAGCTTCTATCCTACCGCCTGCAATTCATGAGACAATCTGGCAAAAGAAGGAAAGAAAGGCATGACTCAACGAAAAGGGAATGCCAATGGAAAGGCATCATTAGCTAAAAAGAGACTTCATTTTTATAACATGCTTAGTTTCTTCTCGTTTAAAGTAAAAAAAATAATTTTTATTAAGAAAAATAATGAGAATAAAAGATATGGGGAGCGCAACAGATTGAATTTACAACAGCAGCTGATTAGAAAGGCCTAGAGCTCATGTAACCTTGAGGACGATCTGCAGCGTTGGCCTCTTACAACTTGTAACAAATTGCTTTAGACATCTTGCCAAAACTCATTGAGTCTTGGTTCCCTGTAATTGGTAATCGCATGCACAAGCCAATAGCTTTGTGATGAAACATAATAGGAAAAATATAAATAGAGCATCCATCAGGAGATAGGAAGCTGTGACGAAGCAGACCGATCAGATTCTATCATGGATTTGATGTAGAATTCGCCTGCTTTGTACGATGACCTAACCATGGGACCAGATGCCACATACCGAAATCCCTGTGTCATCCAAAGATAATAAGAATCACACAGGAAATTCTGGTATCTGATTCAGAAATCCAAGCATCAATAGATAGTTTTAACTTAACGAAAACTCAAAACTTCTGGCAAGTTCAACAAAAGGATGTTGCATCTGACAAGCATATCCCGTAAAGTAACAATCAATGAGTATCCAGTGTAGTGGCTAGCATCATTGCAATCAAATATCAATACATATTCGTGGAATATCCACAGATAGGATCAATATCATTAGATGTAGTGATACTTCCAGCAGCATGCAGAGAAACTGGGAAGGAAGGCTAAATATCATTTCCATTTGCAAATGGTATTCACATGGTCAACAGCTCTGTCATACATGATACTGACAGTTGATTTATTGCAAAAGAAAATGGGTACAAGACAGGCAAGCCAAAGAAGAATGGACATGATGTCTTTGACCAGAGAATTGGCAGCATCCACTGTGTTCAATGCATTAAACTAGCATGATTGTAAATACATGTGGATAAAAGCGGGCTCTCATACTGGGATTGAAGAAGATAGTTTGAAATCCAAATCTATCACAGTACTAACAGTCAGAAAGTGGCAGGGCAAAAGTTGCTAAGAACGTATTCAGATTTACAACGTATTCCAATACAATTAGTACATGACAGAGCTAAAGCGGGACATCAAGGAAACTAGTTTGTAACATGTATAATTTATGAAGCGTCCTCCAGGCAAAAAATTAGGTCAACCACAAACCTCAAGCTCTCAATCAAAGAATTGAAACCAGACAATGAAACAAGAGACATGCTTGAGAAAGCAGATTGGATTAATTCTGTACACCAAAGACATTAACTTTCAACATAAAAAAGAAGAGACAAAAGCAGACCAAGTTCAAAATGGTGCTTTCATCTGCAATGCTTAAGTAATGAATAGCTCTTCTGACATACAACTCTTCTTCCAACTACAAATAGATCAGCGCAAGTGGCAGAGCTAGGACATATTTTAAAGGAGGGCCAAAGGTAAAATTACCATAATATAATTTAAAAAAATATATCACTCTAACTTTAATGAGTTCAAATTAACCTCAAAGCAAAATTGACATTAATATCCAGAGTATTAACAACAGCAGGAAAAAAACTCAGTTCCACACCATCTAGAACATTGTTATATAGAAGAAAATTTGAAAAATACCTACCATTTAGCCAGAAGTTAAAAAATTTAACAATAAACTATATTTCAAACATATCTGTTGAGCTAGTGGTAGAGACAAAAGAAACACATGAAAGGATCCAACAACTAAAGTTGTGTACTCGATAAATAAAGTCGCAAATTTACAAAAATTAAGAGATACATAGAAATAAAATAAAACCCTAAAAAGCCATGCTCTGTTACTCATATAAAAACCAAATCTATGTAGCAAATTAACTACAGTATGGAAGGCAGCGCCAGACTCCCCAACTCACCACTACTGATCACACAGATGGATACACTATGTGTGCTTTCCTTCACGGAACAAATTCAGATTCGCCATGGAATACAGAAGTAAAATGAAGGAGAGGACCCAGAGCAAACAATAGTTGCTATTAAAAGTATTTTCGAGTAAACATAGAGTAGTGATTCATAACTTATAAAAAGAACCGTAACTCACAACTAGAAGAAGCAGTCCATTTCTTATCCATTATTTTTGTTAATGGAACAAAAATAAAACTGATCACACAATGCAAGGGCTTCCTAGTTTGCAGTTTAACCAAAACAGACATGGAGCAAAAATGAAGCCGGATGCCATAACCACAATAACTAAAGTACAAGGCAGAAACATACCATTTCCATGCCAAGTGTTCTGTACTTCTCGAAAGCATCCGGTGTAATGTATTCAGATACTGGCATATGACGTTTGGATGGTCTCATATACTGGCCAAACGTCATCACATCAATACCTGCTGCTCTCACCTTCTCCATTGTTTTCACAACTTGTTCAGGCGTTTCCCCACAGCCCAACATTATTGAAGTCTTGGTCAGTGTCCCAGCTGGAGCATATTTTTTAGCCATCATCAATACATCTAAAGATTGCTTAAAATTAGCACGATGATCTCGAACAGAACTTTGAAGTTCTTCAACTGTTTCAATGTTGTGAGCAAACACATCCAGTCCTGATGTAACAACTTTCTCCACGCAACCACGGTCTCCTCGAAAATCAGGAACTTCAGAACCAAAACATAGCGAGCAACATTACAAAAGCAGAAGTCATTTAAAGAATCATTACAAAATCCGAATGCCATATAAATCAAACATACCCAAGGCTTCTATCAACATGTTTGGCTTGAGTGTCTTCAACTTCTGCACAGTCTCCGCAAAATGACCACTCCCTTGATCAGCCAAATCATCACGATCCACACTCGTAATCACAACATAATCCAAACCCCACGACGCAATTGCCTCAGCCACATTAGTCGGCTCATTCGGATCAGGCGGAGGAGGCGTCCGCGACGTTTTCACATTACAAAACCTACAGAAAAATAAATCCAAACATCCTATATTAATTACAATTATCATTCAACAAATAATTATAAATTTTAAAATTACTCCTATTACCGGCAGCCACGAGTACAAGTATCGCCGAGAATCATAATCGTAGCAGTGGCAGTTCCGGTTTCGCCACCGGACCAGCACTCCCCCAAATTAGGGCATTTAGCTTCTTCGCAAACAGTATGGAGTTTCAATTCTCTCAATTTCTTCTTAATCTGAACGTACTTTTCGCCGCCCGGAATGGCTTCTCTCATCCATTTAGGTTTTGCGAGTGGTTTCTTTTTGGTTCCAACTTCGACGGAGTAAGTGTTGTTGGATTGGAGGTGTGCGAAGTCGGAGAGCGTAGGGGATTCGGCGGCTAATCGAGCGCGCAGACCAGCTAGGGTCTGCGGGAATTGTGGGGGTTGTTTGGTGGAGGAATCGATTGTAGAGGAGGAGAAATTGCGATTTCTGGCTTTGGTGGATGTAGATTTGAGGGTGCGAGTCGCTAAGGATGTGAAGCGTGATTTCATTGTTTGATTAAACTAAAGAAGGTTGAGGAGCTGGTGGCGTAGTGGTGGTGGGGAAGAGTAGAGGAGAGGAGATTGTGGGAGGGACGGACTTTGGGTGGATGAGGTTTGGTTGGTTTTGGGCTGTGGGTGGATTTGCAGTCTGTGGCCTCTGTGGATGGCTCGTGGCAAGTTTTTGTTTCCTTGAAAAAAATTTAATTGTAGCAGAATTTTCTTTAAAAAAATAAGGCAGTGGAATTTTTGTTTAAATGATTTTTTTTTTTATCGTGTTTATATTGGAAACTTCGAAGAGTACTCCATAAATGACCTTAACACAAATCTCGCAAATAAATTGTGGGGTTTTCATACATGCAAGAGGAATTATTTAGTACATCAATCTTATTTATTCTTACACGGCTAGCTTCATCTCAGCCCAGTCCTAACATAGCTTAAAAAAAAAAAAAAAAAAAACAACCCTGGTTTCAGTCTCAAAAAAATAATAAAAATGAAAGAAGAAAAAGAATAAATATATAGGAGCTGGAATTGGTCCAGTAAGAATATTTAAAAAAAAAAATCTTATTTGACCCCTGGCACATTGGTCAAGCCTAATAGGTCACCCATTGGTCAGGCTTAATAGGTCAGGCCCATTGGCCTTACCACCTATCCTCTTTTTTTTTTTTTTTTCCTTTAAGTTTTGGTTTCATTTTTTTACTTAGTTCTGAATATTTTAGTTTCCCTTTGCATTTTTTATTTTTTCATATTAATTTAGATTTAATTTTTTTAGATGTTTCGAAATTTATTTAATTAACTTTAAAATTTAGAATTTTATTTTAGTAATTAGGTTATATAATTACTTGATAAAAGAATTATCGAGTCTCCTAATTTTAGAAATTGATGATAATTTTTTATCAACAAATAATAAATAAATAAATAAATAGAAATAATTAAAAAATTAGGAAAAATTCTCAACAAACTCTTTTATCCGATAGGACTCGTTGTTGACCAAAAAAATATATAAAAAACCTTAATGAAGTTTCCTATCCGATAGAAACCGTCGTTACAAAAAAAATATATAATAAAAATTCTTAACGAAGTCTACTATCCGATAGGGATTGATGTTAGTTTAAAAAATATCATCAACATTTAATTATCGGGATATTCTCCGACACACTAGTTGTTTTGGGGCTTAAAGTAGATCCAATATTTAAACCGATGTATCACATGACAAAGGGGATTGATGATCGTTTCAATACGATGTCAAGCCCAATAATAAAAAAAATTAATTAGGCTTGGAAAGTTGGAGTTCAAATCTGAAACAACTTGGCATAAATAAAATACTTTTAGAGATCAATTTAGGACTAAACTAGACATGGTACCTTTCTTAGAAAATGGTAGTTTTGGATGATCGATATCTTTCCAAAATGTAACCAACTCTTTATCCTAGAATCTCTCGCACCGAGTGCTTATTTTTAGATTCTTAGTTTCTTTAATACTAAATGACGACTTTAAATTCAACAATAACTCGCATCCCCAAAACAAATTATAAAAGTGATACAAATCTCTAAAATCTTAGATTTTTTTGGGAGTCTCATTCGAAGTCGCTTAGTGACAAAATGGCAATTCCACTAGAAGTTAGAGTTAGGTCATAGGTTTAGTCCTTGTAAATTCGAGTTCTTTTTATTTTTTTCATTTATTTTCTAATTCTTTTTGTAACATTCCCAACTTAGGACTTAATAAGTTAAGAATATTATCGCCGTTAGCCACATTCGAAGTGCGATGAATGTAAGCTAACAAGGCACTTTGATCTTATTGTAACGCATGTAAGAATATTTACGTGGTAAAAATCTTTTAATGACGTTCGGGTCCTATTTCTTACTTCAACTTCGCTATAAATTTTTCACGTTTATGTTGCATTTATTTATCATGATATTTTATTTTAATTTATTTCATTTTATATGTTTGCTAAACTTCTAATCATGTCAATATGCGAGTGGATAATTTAAAGTAATTATACTGCTACTACGATATTATTATTTTATTATTACCGATTCGATTACACACCTTAACTATTTATATACATGATCGATTCTATGTCAACTACTCGTGTAATAGGTCTACTGGAAGCCAAACCCTCATCCAAGCTACATGCGTCCGATGCCTCCCTCGGTAGTCAACTTCTCGGAGAAGTGAGTTGTAGTATCTTATTTATCTACACCACAAGGAACTATATGAGCTACGACCCAATAAGTTAACGTATGCATGTAGTGTACGTACATGTGTATGTATGCATAAAACACCGATATGCATAATGAATCCTTTTCCCTTATGTCATAAAACATTTCATAAACGATCTGAAAAAATTTTTCTGTCTTTGGACATGTCCCATTTAGGTACTTCAAGGTTTCCATCACATATGTCCGGCGAACCGGACCCATCCACGGACGTGCCCTACCGAGCCTCTAAAAGTGCACGTCCGCATTTGCCCCGTCCTAAACCATTACCATATGGAAAACCCATGAAGCCCATCTCATAAAAATCTTCAAATTCATGAAAATTCTCTTCTTTAAAATAATTACGATCACTATCGAAAACTCATAGCATAAAATACATTTTCATTACTTAAAACATCATTCATGAGCTTTGGCATGCATATGCATTGTGAATGACAATGCATGCTAACAATGATACCCAAGTGCATGCCCTAAATCTTCATGTAACCATGTTATGAAAACACATAACACGTATAAATCGGACGACGATAACGGCATAGATAACATCAACCCATATCAAGCAGGTGCAACTAACATTGGCGCATCGGTTATCATAACCACATTTCTCATCATCAATCACAATTCAAGCATAACCATCATTCATTAATCATTGCATTCCACACATTATTGGGAAGAAAATACAATCATAGCATAAGAGTAAGTAAATAATTACATTTCATTTTAGTTTCATTAACTTACTCTACATTTTAACATTTCTAAATTATTTTTCTTAGGTTCCTAACCACCCTTTTGCATCTAGCATTTACCAAATTATATATTAATCCATTTTCTAACTTAATTAGGTACTATTTCATTAATTAGGTGGTCTAATTTTGGTTTGGGCCTTAATGGGCCTAAAGTCTAATTTTTCCTAAATCAATTTTTCTTCGATTTCCATGAACACTTTTGTTATAAATCATCCCTTTATCTTATTTTGCACTTGAATGAATTAATTTAGGGTTTAGAACTTACTTTAAACTTACTTCCCAAAATTTCTCATTTAGGCCAAATATTTCACCATTTAAATTCCTAAGCTTTTCTTCCCATTTTGCCCTACCATTTTAATAACAAGTAGCCTAAATATGTACTCACTATAAGGATTGATTTAATTAAAATTTAGAACCTTAATTCCCGCCCAAACCCTTATTGGGCCCCAATAGGTCGAAATTGGGCCCAAGCCCATATAACCCATTTTCTTCATTTTTTAGAAAATTTTTCATTTCTTCTCATAAAAACATGCTTATTCAAGTGTGAATGACCCATCAAACCAGAATTAAACTGCTTTGAACTCAAACCCTAATTTACTTAGTTTAGTTTAGGCCGAATATAATTCCTAAAAATTAATGGATTTTTCTTTCAATTAAAGTGTAATTTTTCATTCCTAAACATTAATTCATGCTCAAATAAGTCAAAATCAAGTGCCAAAACACCAATTAAAGGAAAGAATTCAAAACCCCCAAATTGGGTTCATAAAAAACCATAACCCTAATTTTTCTTAATTGAGCAATTAAATCAAATCAAGCAATTAAACAGAAAATTGACTTGAAATTAAGTATGCTTGTGGTGTAGGTGAGGTTAAATTACTTGTTTGAGCCCCAGTTAGACTCTAAAAAGGTAGATTGGTGATGGATTCTCTTCCTCCTCTTTTCCTCTAAATTTTTGAATTTGATCTTTGAATTTTTTTCCTTAAGAGTTTCGTTTTTCACTTAAATTCAAGCTTCTTTCACTCGATTAGAGGTGGATAGAATTTATTAAAAATATTTTGGGTGATTTTTAAGTAAAAATTTTGTAAGAGTTTCTTTAGTGTTTTTCAATTTTTCCTCCCTTTTTTATTTTTCTAGCACCCCTATTTATATGAAATTTTGTAGACTTATTGACCTCATCTCCACCCTTAATGTGGGAAAATCTCAGCCCTTAATTCAATCTCCAATCATTCATTTACATTTGTCTCAATTTTTAGCCATTTATTCACCCTTTTATTTAACCCTTCCACCTTACTTATTTTTTTCCATAATTTTTACTGGAAGTCGGACTTAATTAATGCTCTAGGTTGGCCAAAGTTGGGAGGAAAATGACAAATTTTGGCCCTCCAAGTTTCTAGACTTTTCCATAGCCCATTCTTTCTTAAGTCACTCTTTTATGCAAAAACTCACTTCTAATCCTTGCTTTTTAGTGTTTAGGACTAATTTTTTACCCTTAACATTCTCACATAATTTAATTTGGATTATTAGACTTTTAATTTTATACAATCGAGTCTCTAATTTTATGCAATTTAGTCCCCGCTTTTAAAATTCCATTCTATACTTTTCAAAAATCAAATTTATTTCTAGAATAAATTCAAACATTCATTAAGGGAGTTTGATTAAAATTTTCATAATTTTTTTCCCTAATTTGAGCCTTCAATTTATTTATATATTTTCACACAGTTTTAATATTAAACTTTTATTACATTTCTATTTTAGCGGGTACCGAGCATTACAATTTTATTTTAAAGTCATTCATTTTTTATTTTTCTTATATTATTTTGAGTCTTTAAATTTTTACAATTTATTTTCTTTCTATTTCTGTATTTATTTAATTAAACTGGGTTGGATGCTTATCTTGAACTCGTTGCACACACAATAAAGGAAATCAGCAAAGGTTTTAGGCCCGAGCTATGAGAAAAGTCTATCGATGCTTTTTCAAACTCTCGTTTGGATCGTAACTCGGCCTATGCATAAAAAATTATGGAATAACCTTTTCCTACCTCCTCGT